CTAGCAAATGATGATGGATACCACCCCCCTCTCTAGCTGGTGATGATGGACCGCCCCCCGTTCTTCTGTAACAGACGCACGAGCCTACTGCAGGTACTTTTGTGCAACCACCACAACAAAACTATTCCACCTCCAACTCTATTATTGATTGTAGGGCTTAGCTTCGCCACCACGTGGGCAGAAAATGACAAAATTCTACATCATTTGGGGCCGAATGTTGTTCGAACGAAGTTCATCACCAAATTGAGTAAACTTGAGCTCAAATGAACGATGAGCTCCATAGCAACACAAAGAAAAAATAGAACAGCTTTCCGCGGGGTGAGCGGCAAGATACCGTGAATGGGGGGTGTCCGTTAATACCCCGGTTTACTCTACACATGGTTGGTTATACTCCCGACGGTGTCCTCCACAGGGAACATTTTTCTACTGCTACTTTGTATTGCTCTCTTTTCTTCCCCTCGCTGCCTCGGCAAGGTTTCGCGTAGGCATGACCCATAGCGAGGGGCGGGGGTCTTTCTAGCGAGCAGGGCTAGACTCACCCTCAAGGGACCGATACCTTCTTGCTGCGGCGCATCGCCGCGAGGCGTGCGTAGTGGTGTAGTTGGGTCGGCACTGGTGCGTCAGGTACAAAGGTGCAGATGCGCGGGCCTCCAGGCCGTCGGTGTAGGCAGCAATGCCCATCTCATCCTTGTGCGCGGAGGCAGACGTCATCAGAAAGGTGGACGGGCACTATGTACACGGCCTTAGTTTGCAAGAGGGAGCTGTGCTATCTCAGTAACCTGGTTTTGCCATCAAAGGCGGAGGGGACAGGTGGTGACGAGCTGATTGGGCTGGTTGACCCTTCGGCGCGAGAATTTTCAGGCCAAGAACCCTAAGTGCAACGAGGGAGAAAGCGAGGGACCGACTGGGAAGGACAGCAACGAGAGCGTGCACGAAGCGGAGCGGGTCGAGTTTGGTCATGCTAGGACTGGGCACAGCGGTACCGGAGCAGCGGAACTGGAGTATGCGGACGGCATCATCGAACCGTGGCGCACGGACAAACATCTCTTGTATTGTCAATCATTTTTCCGTTGTTTTCCTGAGTACAGGTGTTGGGTGTGTGTGATGACGTCACTGATTTTGTAGAGAGCGGCAGAGATGGCGCGGATAACCCGGGTGCCTTAATTGTGTACCTGCATCGTGGAAGACCCCTTCAATGTGGAACGATTCCTAGCCAGTGTCGATGTTTACACTGCTGTGCCTAACACAGATGATCTGGATAGATTCGGGTGATTGTCAATTGCAATGATGATGGCTTTGGGTGGGTGTTCATCTTCATTGTATGTCCACGGGCTCATTCTGACAGCACTTCAGACAGCAGCTGCATGCCCCGAGCTTGTGTACCATGCAGCATGATGTTATTGTACAGACAGCAGTACGCTGAAGTCGACAAACAGTCATTTTGGTTAAATGCGGGATAAGGGGGGTGATGCTGCTGCTGTAGTCGATTTGTAGTGTGTGGGCGTGTTGTTCAGTTGTGAGCACGCAAACGGCTGCAGGGATTGCAGGTGTACCTCCTCGGGCTTGCGTACCCTTTCCTTNATGGCTTTGGGTGGGTGTTCATCTTCATTGTATGTCCACGGGCTCATTCTGACAGCACTTCAGACAGCAGCTGCATGCCCCGAGCTTGTGTACCATGCAGCATGATGTTATTGTACAGACAGCAGTACGCTGAAGTCGACAAACAGTCATTTTGGTTAAATGCGGGATAAGGGGGGTGATGCTGCTGCTGTAGTCGATTTGTAGTGTGTGGGCGTGTTGTTCAGTTGTGAGCACGCAAACGGCTGCAGGGATTGCAGGTGTACCTCCTCGGGCTTGCGTACCCTTTCCTTGCTAATATTGTGTGTGTTCTTTAGATCTTCTGGTGGCGCTAGCATTTTTGTGACCACGGACCGAGTCTTTGCTAGATTTTGGGATCAGCAACTGACACGAGTTTAATGTGAAGAAAAACAACAACAACAACTATTATTCTGCGCCTATCCATAACAAAGGACCAGTAGCCACGGTGGCATGTTGTGTCCATTTGAGACAACCTATTTTATCAATGTTTGGGGAAACACTAGCGAGGAGAAATAATTGTAAGCCACCGCTATCCCAAGATCTTACTTATGATGAAGAGGGGGGCTTGCCAGAGGTTCACTTCATTACAAGTCTACCCCACATCAACCCAACACATGGCATGCCAGGCGGTCATGACTATGGGAAAATGATCCAGTACCCACCAATTTTACTTTCTAGACCAGTCTGCACGAGTATTATTGTTGTTGATGTCTTCACATTAAAAACCGTTCCGATCTCTCTCTACCCAGTACCTTCGTATGTCCGTACTGATACAACAATCGACGCGGTCGATTCCCGTGGTCGCAGGCTAACTTACCCTTAAAAGGCACACTCAAATAAAATGGCCCCCAGGGGTCCGCAAGTCAATATAGGTAGAAATCAACGACAGATATTCTGGAGTCCTCCACTCCCTCTGCGTGCTATGCGAGGTAACAACTGAGACTAGGGGTCACCATCACGGGCCGGAGAGAATGAGGTACACCCCCTNCTCAAATAAAATGGCCCCGAGGGGTCCGCAAGTCAATGGAAATCAACGCCAGATATTCTGGAGTCCTCCACTCCCTCTGCGCGCTATGTGAGGTAACAACTGAGACTAGGGGTCACCATCACGGGCCGGAGAGAATGAGGTACACCCCCTTGGTTCAATCTTGGTACTTCACAACGCAAGCAGAGACAGGGCCATCTGGTACAGAAAAAGAGAGAAAAAGAGAGAAAGAGAAAAAGAGAAGAAAACAAAAGGAAACAGTAAGGAAAGAGAAAATGAAATAAAAGAGGGAGGACAAAAAGGGACCAGGCCGAAAATAACAAGAAATAAGAGACAGAAAAAGGCACA